TTTTAATGAGCTCAAAATGTATATTTATCTTTAGCGTTAATTCTTCCTCTCTTTCCCTTATATCCTCCTGATGCCTCCTCTCTTTTTCCTTCGCTGCTCGTGTTATCATCCCATGTCTTTCTACTTCTGAGTCAAGCAATCGCCACGTGGGTGGGGTGGTCTCCTCGTCCGGTCCGACGAGTACTGCCGCCTGCATGATTGGGATTGATCTCGCCTGTTTCTGCTAACTTAGCTTTTTTTCTTTTCTGTGCTTGGTCTAGCCAAAGCCTCGCGACATAAAGCTGTTCCTCTTTCCATCTTCTTCATTTCCCTAATTTACCTGACATACTGATTTTCAGTTTATCCAATAATTGTATACATGCCGTTTCCATCAATCTACCCTCGAAACCATACTTCTTTTTTCATTTAACTAAATAGTTGGTGCTGCCTGGGGATGTCCTTTCAAAAAACTTGGAATCCCCCTCTAAGGTAGACTTAGACTCGTTGTGTTCCCCATTATGACAATTCAGTTGCCCCTTAAAGACTACGTGTCTTTCTCGGGAGCCCTTACGGCGAAGTCACCTGTGTCCAATTCACTCCCTTACGGCGGAGTCACCTTTTTACTTACAGTGTTTTGTTCCGCTGTGACCGTCTCCTGGATCCCGTTGGACGACGAGGTGGAGGAAAGAGAACACTTTTCACACCGGCCCGGTCATGAATTCACGTCCCGGTTTGTTCAGGTTGCCCTAGGCGTCCTGGGTCTCGAGACTCTTCGGTGCGTCCAATCCCTCGTACGAGACTCTTCACTCGATCACAGCCAACTCACACTAGACTTCCCCTTGCAGTCTCCTTTTATTGAGGTAGTGAACTATGTAAGCATGATGAGTTGACACTTGTTTGTTAAAAAGGTCAGTAGTATAGCAGTAATAGCAAAAGGCATTATACACCAAACTGGGTATGTCGACTCAAGGTTTAAAACAGCTTATACAGGTGAATGTATGTGTGCGTAAGATAACGAGTGTCTGCAAATGTGTCTTAGACTTTCTTCCCATATATTGAGTTGCTTTTCAGTTTGGTGGAGAAAATATAGTTGAGTCCACCGTTTCCTGTTTTAACGCAATTAAAACAGGACAATGAAACAGTACATTGCGTAATGATAATAGCACACTAAGCAGTATTCCCTAACAGTAATATTTACTGGTGACAAGTAGGCCTATATTATCCCTGGGATAGTAGTAAGGTTATCTCTGTTCCATTTAATCTCGACCAATGTCAGCAGTCAACTAAGCATTGTTAGTGTCTGTATTCAATTGATACATTTATAATATAAAAAAAACATCAGCCTGAAGCTACAGATTCTACATCTGTAGATTCTTATACTCTATATTGAGTAACGCCGTATACTCAATATAGAGTATAAGAATATATACATATACAAGTTCTAATGGATTTTATATACATATATTCATATTGTAATATATTTAGCCTTTGATATATATTTATTATATGATATTTACAGTTGTGGTAGTTTTATTTATATATATTCATTGATATACTGAGTTGTTTGAATAAGATGCCCATATTATGTTATGCTATTGTGTTAAACTGTTGGAATAAATAAGTAAGTAATAATGCGTGTTTGATACCCTGGAATGTTTACTGAAACTGATTGGCTGGCCCTACCAAAAGAAATATCCACCAGCTCTTTGGCCCAGTGGAGAAGCTGATCAGAATCTTGATAATTGTGCCTGTTTCCTCAGCGGAGTTTCAGCGCGTTAAAAAGGTTGAGGTCAACCGTGTCCCAGCAGCAGCCGAACAATGTCTGTATGTCTTTGCATCAAATTGCTCTGGACAAGATTGCGCTTGAAGATGTCGACCAACAGTTCATCTCTGAATGATAGACGGAGGTTTCTTTTTGGCGCATTTAAATAAGAAATCAAGAGGAAAGCTTTTTAGCCTTTTAAGTGCTGCAGAATAGATTTTTTTAAACTATATTTGGGATAGACTATACTGTTGTGTAGTGTATATTGGTATTTTTTATAATACATTTTCGAATTAGTCATTATTATTTATTTGGTGCAGAAAATTGTTATGTAGGGTTACATAAATGTGACACCGGTGCTAACCCGATACATTGAAAACATAGAAAGGGTTTTTTCTTATTGCCAAAGCTAATTTTGTTTATCAAATTGAACAATATATGAACTGTTTACAGTTTAATTACAGTGTTTCCCCTATGTAAAAGCCAAAAAGGTGTATATTGGTTCATTGGAATTTGGGGAATATTCATAATTTAATTTTAGATGTATGCTCACTGTGCAGGAACTACAGATATGCAACATATATTGAAAAGTCTTTATGTTGGATTGACGCTCCTTGTTTGTCTCGATGTATTGACGTCATGATTGAACACAGAAGACAATATAGTTTTATCTACCGGACGGCTTCATCAAAGTAGTGTAAATAAAGTTTTTCAATCGCCTCAGGCACCGAAAGTAAGCACTGAAATCTGCGTTGCGTTTCGGTGAGGGTTCTCGTTAGCAAATCCTTATGTTAATATATGTAATGTATAATATATATGTAGTCATCTAAGTGTAAGCTATTATTTCACTAGTGTCCCGGTGTTGGTGCTTTTATTGTGAAGGAGGAGATGGAAGGAGAGGAAATAGAAGTGTTCATCTGAGGTGCGGCGTAGAACCGGAGTGTTATGCACATGATTCATGATTCACAGGAAATGAAAGTGAAAGCATAACCTACAGTATAAAGGAGCTTCTTGCCACCACTTGTACTACACTACAGCACTCTGCAGAGCCACAGATACAAAAGGTGAGGGATTTCTACTACGTCTACTAACTGTATGTAGTGTATTATCATTATCAGTGACGTGCGCGGATGTCAGTAAGAGGGCAGACACTGAGTTATGAAAGTCCGATTACCTGATTTGTTCTTTATGTGAACACGTCAAAACAGTAAACGGATGATGGAACTTATAAAATGATAAATCAATTGGTCCGTTCACGCACACACACACACACACACACACACACACACACACACACACACACACACACACACACACACACGATTGTAACTTTATTGAAGTCCGGCATAAAAGTTTATTAAACAAAATTATGTTATAAGTATTTTTATGTAATACTTATGTTGGGTCATGACCGAAATAACTAGGTCACGGGTACAAGCGGCCGAAATGGGTTTCCTCAGGAGAGTGGCTGGCGTCTCCCTTAGGGATAGCGTGAGAAGCTCAGCCATTCGCGAGGAGCTCGGAGTAGAGCCGCTGCTCCTTTGCGTCGAAAGGAGCCAGTTGAGGTGGTTTGGGCATCTGGTGAGGATGCCCCCTGGGCGCCTCCCTAGGGAGGTGTTTCAGGCACGGCCAGCTGGGAAGAGGCCCCGGGGAAGACCCAGGACTAGGTGGAGAGATTATATCTCTGCACTGGCCTGGGAACGCCTTGGGATCCCCCAGTCAGAGCTGGTAGATGTGGCCCGGGAAAGGGAAGTTTGGGGTCCCCTGCTGGAGCTGTTGCCCCCGCGACCCGACCCCGGATAAGCGGTTGAAGATGGATGGATGGATGGATGGTATTTTTATGTTTAATTGTGGCAGGGTAGGCAGTGCCTATCTTATTGCCTACACTGACTGCACAACACTGATCATTATTCTCATGGCGTTATTATTAATCTACTGAAAGATGTAATTAAGTAATAAAGATGTAAATATTGAGTAAAGCTCAATATCTTAATTAGGTTGATGAAACATTTATCTTTATGATTTGTTTTTGATTTTGATTTTTAAGTACAACTTTCACCTCTATAATTAATCAGGGAAATTTAAATTTAAAATTGCATTGACTTTTATTTGAATTTGGAACGTGTTGATTTAAGTATAATTTAGGTATAATTTGTATAAAAATGTCCCTCCTAGGACAGGTCTATAGCAGGGGTCGGCAAACCTTTTGACTCGCGGGCCACAGTGGGTTGTAAAATTTGACGGAGGAGCCGGGCCAAGAACAGATGGTTGAAGTGTGAGCTAATATAAATGACATGTGAAAAATCATTACATGAAAGGATTTGGATTTTAATAAATAGCAAAGCATTCATTTGCAAGGCAATTTAACAAATTGGCAAAGGTGTAACAACTTCATGAGGACCAGGGATCTAAACGCAACACTTTGTTGTCTTTGTCTGTGTACTTGCAATGCTACATGACCAGTTCTTCTCTCTTGTGTCCTGCGGGTTTTCCTCCACCTGCTCTGTGCCGCCACATCCTTCACCTGCACTGCGCAGTTCTATCAAAAGGATCCACCTGTCACGTCTGTGTGCGCGCCTGTGCACCCCTCGTGCGATTGCTGTGAGTCTCCGTGGCGCACTGCTTGCAGGTAGCACCCTAATAAGGATCCGGGGAGATGGTGAGGTACGGATAGACTGCGGTTAGCAGTCCTGCCTCTCCACCAAGGAGACTTTTCAGAGTTGTGGGTATTTGATTTTGTACTGGTGTATTGCCTCGTTGTGTTGTTTGGTTTTGCTTCTCCGTCTGTCTGATTTAGGTGCATGTGTTGCCGTGATGTGAGTTCTACTACTGTGTAAATTTAAACAGTTTGTTTGATTTCATTTTATCTTTTGTAAAAAAAACAATAAAAGAAAAAAAAAAGGGCAGCCAGGTTGATGTTTTGATCCACCGGGTTTGAATCCAGGTTGTGCCGATCTTTCCTTTAATATATTTTTTCATGTAAATGTGTTCATACGTGGCTGTGATGTGGTGCTCACTTATACAATCGTAAACGCTGCAATGGATTTGTGATGCGTTTTGAAGATTTTCAGCAATATGTTTGTGAATGTGTGACGAATCAGGGAACTGAGGCGGACACATCTGCAGCTGTGGAGTGAACACAAACACGCACGCGTAGCGAAACGAGTAGGTGGAAAAACCAGTAGGGGTGTAACACCGGTTTGTTGTCTGTTAGCTGCGTGTGAATTTATGGGGGAAAGTATTGTGACTTCGTCAACCACCAACATGTTCGTCTCGTCTCGTTAACGAAAGTTAGAATAGATTTAGTCATAGTTTTTATTTGTTAAGATCGTTTTTGTCACGTTTTAGTCAGAAAAGAGGGCGTTAACAAAACATTTTCGTCGACGAAATTAACACTGCTGCATTGTTCATACATTATTACCTTGCACATTTTCTACTACCCTACATGCCTTAGCTTTTATTCGTTAAGCAGTTTCCTTTTCTATTTTGCAACATGCCCCAAAATGAATAGGATTGCAGTATTTCAGTGAAAGTGTCTTGAAGTCACCACCCTAATTTAGGCATTAGTAACATTCATGCTCCAGAAAAATTATTTTAAATTCATGCACATTTACATGTTACTGTCTCCTTTTACAGCAATGGGAGGAGGTGAGTCTTGACATGTCATCATTTCAGCTCCTAAATGTTTAATCCTTTGCAAAACTGATTCAAAATTGTAATTATTCCAACATTAAAAAAAAGAAAAGGCGCATTAACATATGTAACTTTCTCTTTAGCATTTTCTAGTGAGCCATGGAGGGAAGTGACAAAGTGAGTATGATTCACATGTTGTACATTTAATCAAATAAAACATGTTAAACAAATATAGTATTCTGTTCTAATTCATTTATTCTCTGTTCAAAAGAGGTTACCAGGACAATCTGGATTTTGTGAAATCTTACAAACCTCGAAAGCCACAAGTCAAACGTCTCAGAATTCTGGTTCATGGACCAGTCGGGGCTGGAAAGTCCAGCTTCATCAACTCTGTGGAAAGTGCTTTAAGACACAGAATTGCTGTTCCAGCTCAAACGGATGCAACGTCTGGAAGCAGCTTTACACAAGAAGTATGAATAACTTGTTAATTGTTTGTTTACACTGTTCTTTGGGCTCCACAAAGTCCACAATATATTGGCACAGATTATTAAGTCTGCTCCAATATTTAGCTTTATACCTCGGCCACCAAGAACATCAGGATTCTGTTTGGCTGGAAAGATTAATGAACTGGACAGTTTGATTGGACATTTATTGAGCTTTGTAGGCCAATGCAGGCATCACTCAGCCAGAAGAAAAGAGTTTAGAGCTTATGATGTTCATATCAACTTCCCCAACAGCTCTGATTATAATTAAAAAATTCTAAATAGTTTATCAGTGAAAAAGGACCCAATTGAATTTGACATTCATTACTATAAAGAAAGATTGTATCTTAGCAGTGCTGGGACAGAACATCTGAGATAGAGAAAACCTTTCAAATATCAATTTGGCAAAGACTGCACAGATATTTGCTGTAGTACATTAGTTTATTACTGTGCAGACAATGGAAGCTTAGAATTTACTTGAATTGCTCACTTATTGTTTTTTAATGTAATTAATGCAAATAATTCCACTTTCTTCTTCACAGTACACGGCTCATGAAATCAGAAAAGACGATCAAAGTTGTTACTCTTTTATTTTCAATGACATAATGGGCCTTGAGGAAAAGACCAACAAGGGAGTAAAAGTGGACGACCTGAAACTGGCCCTAAAGGGACACGTGTCAGACGGTTATACGGTAAAACTCTGAATTTATCAACTTTTCTTTTTGTGACACTTTTTGCGTTACTTTTTATTCCAAATGCTATTGTCTGGCTGCTCTATTTGATAGTCAAGTTTATCTTTTTTTAAATTGTTTGTTTTCCTAGTTCAATCCTGAAGTCCAGCTTAAGGCGAATGACAAATACTACAACTCATCTCCCACTCTGGAGGACAGAGTTCACGTCCTGGTGTCTGTCGTTCCTGCTGGTTCAGTGTCTATATTAAGTGATGGAGTTGTGAAGAAGATGAGAGAAGTCAGAATGGCAGCCAGTGAAATGGGTAAGAGCAGATATCCCAATGGTCATGAGTGTAATGAAGGAATCAGATCTGTTATCAAAACACCAGCAAAGTAGAACGGATTATGTTTCTGTCCTTACAGGAATTCCCCAACTGGCTATTCTGACCAAAGTTGATGAAGCGTTTCCTGAAGTGAAACAGAATATGGACAAAGTATATAAAAATAGGAACTTGAAGGAACAGGTACGTTTTCCATTGTTGACATGTTTTTGCAAGTCCAATTTTCCAAAATTATGCAGAAAAAATCTTCTCAACGTTGACATTCACTTAACAACAACACAAATCCTGTCATCCTGTCTTAGGTTGACAAATTCAGCGTGTTGCTCGGCCTTTCTCCAAACTGCATCTTTCTCGTGAGGAACTACCACGAAGAAATCCACACCAATGAAGACATGAATGCGCTGATCCTGAGTGCAGTGAAACAGATGATCTGCTTTGGAGACGACTTTGTCAACAAGCAGTAGACCTTCAAACTGCTGAGACGAATCTCACAGCATGACAACACTGCTTTAAATGCTTTCTATTACAGAATTGTGCAGGGTCATTAGTCATTTTTATGAAATCATTTTCAAATGTTCTTGATGTGAAATCACGTACATAACTTAAGGTACATAACAAACGTATACTTACTTTGATCCAGACATGATTTATGAGAAGTAGTTTTGTTTAAATTCACAAAGTGACCATGTGTCTCAAACTGACACAATATCTGTATAGGAACGTAGCTTTTCAGCAGCCAGGTTTGTTATATCCCACAAAATCAACTACATCAGCATTATATCATGTGTAGGTTTATCACAGTTCATGCTTTTTCTTTTTGAAAATCAGTTTGATGTAAAAAAAGAAGAATCCTAATTACTTTGGGAATAAATAATCAGTTAAAAACCTGGATTATCAATAATAATGATAATCATATGAGTAAATAATCACAGATGTGAAGCTGCAATAAACTATAAATATGTTTGATGCTGCTTTCGTCCCAATGCCTTTTGCTAGTGGTACTTTCGTTTTTAATTCCAACTGTTTTGCAAAATTGCTTTGCTTTGTCATTTCATGAAATGTATTTTTCTCAAATACCACTTATAAAAAACTCTTTGCCCGTGGCTGAATTATTTATTTTTCTGACCTTATTTACAAGGTCAATACACTTTTTTTTGTTGGTTGCACATACAACATAAAGTGTGGCTTCAGGTTTGTATTTAAGAAATACTGTTATAATGATGATTTGACACAGTCATTTATGTACTGCTCACCAAACCTTAAAGCAACAAACCAGCACGGCTCCAAAGGTGTTACCTTCTGCCACGAAGCATAGGCGCAGTGAGGGGGTGGGCCTTAATATTTATCACCTTGGTGACATCACAGCCGTGTTAAGGGACTCCCTGGGGCAAACGCATGGCACAGAGCTCCAGCTTCCGTCCCTCCTGCTTTGTTTGAGGGCATTTATTACTCATATTTTGCAAATGAGTTACATTGTGACTCATAATATTAAAGTAAAGAGAAAATCCATTCGAGCTGTTTCAGGCAGCTCAGGAGCCGTGTTTCCGAGGGGGGGGTTACCCAATTTGGGCGTGGACTTGAGCTTTACCGACCTTTTGAACACAATGAAGTTAAGGCTATAGGAGAAGAATAATAAGGCCTCTTTAGACCAAATCTCACACTGATCTATAATGCCTGAAGAAGGCCCTTTGTCTTCCTGCAGGACACTCAAGTTGTTTGGGTGGGGCTCAGAAGTGGAAGTAACGAATTACAAATACTCACGTTACTGTAATTAAGTAGATTTTTTGGGTACTTGTACTTTTATGAGTGTTTTCTTCAAGTGTGTAATTATACTACGTATATGTTGCATATAAGAAAAGTTGCTAATGCATTAATGTTTTTAGGTTTTCTTTAACTTTTAATCACATTAATAAGACAATAAAGATTATTTAGCTCAAGTTCTTTTTTCCTAATATGTCAAGAAATGATAAAGAGAACCAGATTAACCCTTCATTCTGCATCCGAATACATGAGTTTTGATGGCTTTGGGATTAAGGGCCAGTGAGTCTGACCACGCTCGTTGTGTGTTTGTTCTTGAGTGCATCTGCGTTTGAGTAGAAGTTCACTGAGTTTGAGGACACGCACTAGCAGGATAAGAAGGACCTGCACAACCATGTAGACAGAAAGGAGTCCCACTCACAGCAACTGGTACTCAAGATCAAGAACTACGCCGACCATAGTGAGCACCAACACACACACACATTTACAGTCACATGCACACGCGTTCACAAAGTTTGATGAAACCTTATGAATGTCATTCTCCCATATAGCCATCACCATGTCACCGTGTAATAAATAGTGTTCACAAACTGTTTGAGGTTTTGACAGAAGTAAAATGCAACATAATAAAAACGTTCCTATTAACTTTAAAGCTGGTTGATCAACACAACAAGACAAATATTAATACACGTGTCTCACATGCATTGAAGCTTTCTAAAGATGCATGTGGGGTCGTGGTGGCGCAGGGGGTAGAGCGGGTGCGCTGGGTTTGGTGGTTCGAGTCCCGGCTGCCTCATGTGTCAAGTTGAAGTGTCCCTGAGCAAGACAACTAACCGCTAATTGCTCCCCGGGTAAACTGTTAAAAGGTTTAAAGTAAAATATAAGTCGCTTTGGTCAGACGGAGATTTGCTCGCGCGAGACAGACTTTGCTCGCGGATGTTTGATTTACGCGCGCGCATCAACCTGATTTACGCTCTCGAATTTTGACAGTGATTTGCCGCCATACATGTGTGTCTCTTGTCAACTCATTGTTGATTGTCAGAAGCATGTCCGTGTCCATCTCCACGCCCATGTTCTCGTTCTCGTTTCCTTTTCGCTGACTACGTTTTTGCCTTTTTTGAGTTTTGAGTTTTTTGAGTTTTGTTTTTTTGAAAACTTTTTGTTTTCCGAAAAACTCTGCGTTTGAGTCCTGCCTTTTTCCCCATGCAACTTCGTGGCAGTTTTTTTTCATATGATATTGCTAAATGTACCAACTGTGCAGGATTTTAATTCAGGTTGGTAACACTCTAATGGCAAATAACAAAATGCAAAACTGTGGCCAGTCTGCAGTTTTCCTCCTTTTGTTATCTAAAAAACGTTGAAACTCAAAGTTTTCAATAACTGTAACACTATACACTTGCCTATCGTGCCGAGGGCTGCACAGATGTAACACAAAAATGTTGGATAAAAGGTAGGCTTGGCAAAGGTGGAACAGCAGAGACAAATAAGGCGTGCGCAAAGTTTCAACAAAAGTAAATACAATTTATTAACTTATTTATCACAAAAGTCAACTAAAAGCATCAGGGTCTCAAAGGCCAAAACAATAAACAAAACCACCCCACTAGCTGGAAAACGAAGGCGTTCTGCCCTACCGTGGGAAAAGGAAAAACAATACTGACCTCCCTCTCTATCCACATAACTGAGAAAAGATATGAACAGAAATGGCAGAGAACCCTTACACACTTCCTCCACACAATGGTGGTCTTTATGCAGACACTAAATACTGACAGTCTGCTCGTTGTCAGGACAAAGAGAACCCCTTAACACTGGGCCCGGGAGCCTTTATGTAGCCCACTAATGGCCTGATGTCTCTCAGGTGGTGCTGAGTAAAATTTTTTTGTAAAATATTTCAAATAAAAAAATTAAAAACTCCATTAGTTTTTACTGATAAAAGGGGATCAGTCCACCGTCAGTTAGCAGTGATTCCTTGTAAAAGCTTTTGAAGTGAAAATGGAGAACCAAGAATATGACGATCGATCTTTACGTGCCGTTTCTCGACCGCAGTGACTCTCGTGATTCTGACTCTCTCTGTTGATGCCCCGCCCCCAAGCCACATCAGGGTCAAAAGTCCATGTGAAAAAAAATGATCTGAATGTGAAAAAAGGGAATCTAAAAAATGTGAAGAATGGAAAAAAAATATTTAATTGAAAAATGATGGAACTGAGTCAAAACTATATTCAACCCAAGAATACTTTTATCCACTTTGAATACATTTTTGCATTTTTCAATGTTTAAGACAAACACTTTCAGCTTCACATTTGTTTTTCAAATGATCAAAACATTTGGCTCCAGCTTAAGAAGACTGACAAATACTACAACTCATGTCCCACTTTGGAGGACACGTACTGGTGTCATTCCTGCTGACTCAGTGTCTATATTAAGTGTAGAAGTTGTGATGAAGATGAGAAGTCAGAATGACAGCCAGTGAAATGGGTAAGAGCAGAGATCTCAATGGTCATGAGTCTACTGAAAGAGTCAGATATATTTTCATGAATCAAACACCAGCAAAGTAGAACAGATTATGTTTCTGTCTTTACAGGAATTCCCCAACTGGCTATTCTGACCAAGGTTGATGCAGCGTTTCCTGTAGTGAAACAAAATATGGACCAAGTATATAAGAACAAGTACTTGACTACAAATCATGTCCCACTTTGGAAGACAGAGTTCCCATGGTACGTTTCTATTGTTGGCTTTGTGTTTGTTGTTGCAATTCAATTTTCAGAATTTGAGCACAGAAATGTCTCTTTATTCTCAATGTTGACATTCACATTGTGACACAAATCCTGTTATCCTGTCTTAGGTTGACGAATTCAGCATGTTGCTAGGTATTTCTGCAAAGTGCATACTACAAAATAAACTTTATCACAGTTCATGCTTTTTCATTAACATTTTGTTTATAGTAAAAAAAAGAACAATCCTAATTACTTAATCTGTTGAAAGCATATCATACCTGGGTATCTCAGGAATTGAGTGCACCGGCAGATGATGCTCATCTAGTGTGTGTTGGTAACACAGTTTTGTCTGGTAGTGAAGCTGCTTGTGAACATGATTTACCAAATCATAACTCTAAGGTTCTTTCAATGTTAAACAGTGTATTGTCTCACGTGTCTGAGCTTCAGCGCACAGAATTAATGGAGCTTATACAGGTGTATTCCAGTCTGTTTGGAGATGTGCCATCTCGTACACATGTTTTGGAGCATGACATTGAAATATTGGGCGATGTAAAGCCAATCAAGCAGCGTTTTATCGAGTAAGTCTGGAAAAGTGGACATTTTTGGATGCTGAAGTTGAGCATTATCCACCTCAGCTACAAAAAAGATCTTTCTTGGTTTGGTGGGTTACTACAGAGGTCTCTGTAGAAATTTTTCAACTGTGGTATCACCATTGACAGATCTTTTGAAGGGTAAGGTAAAATATATCTGGTCTCTTAGCTGCCAAACCGCTTTTGAAAATGTGAGGGCAATTCTGGGCAATGCTCCTGTTTTGGCAGCTCCTTCCATGGACAAACCATTTAAACTTCAGGTGGAGGCCAGTCATGTAGGGGCGGTTGGGGTGCTGTTACAGCAAGATGAGTTTGTTATTGGCCGACCGGTGGGTTTTTATTAAAAAAAAATTACCAAACATCAGTTGAACTATTCTGTAATTGAGAAAGAAGCATAGGCTCTGATTGGGTCCTTGCAACACTTTGAGGTGTATGTGGGTTCAGGTCCGGTGATTATTTATACAGATCGCAAGATTTTTTAACTCGCTACACTGCCCAAATCAAAGACTTTATTTATCCAGTCATACAACTTGGATATACATCATGCAAAGGGCAGAGATAACAAGTTGCAGATGCTTAGTCCAGAGCCCCATGTCAGTGATTGTTCTATAATTCTTCATTGTGGTGTCTGTATCTCACTCTTAAATCGCTTCCAGGTACCAGTTGCCATGGTGACTGACCCTGAGCTTTCGTTACCTCCCTTTGTGAAACAGACAAGCCAGAGTTTCCGTCATCTCAGGGTTGACAAACTCTTTCCACTAAACCCGCTTCTCGAAACGGACCCCAGGTCTGTTATTTATTGTTCACAAAAGACAATTATGTTACTTTCAAAATTCCGTCTTTATATTATCTTTAAACTACGGGCCGTATCAGACTTCAAGCCTTGTTAATACAAAAACACATTCGCAACAAACGAAACGTTAAAGTAACGTTATTGTTAATATTATCTTATGTTCGTGTGTGAGATTTTAGCTAACGTTAGCAAAAACCGATTTGCCAACTATGATAATATACAAGGGAGTGCAATAAAAAAACGAATAAGATGCAAACACTTATCGCCAGTGGACACAACGTACAGTTTGACATTGTATTTTCAAAGAAAATCTTTTAAGAGCAATGAACACACGAGTGCTGAAGGTTAAAAGTACCGTGGTTACTCCGCATGTCTGACGCAAATCTCAGACATGCAAGTGAGATGCAAGTCAGTACGTTTTAATTTGCTGTTTTGTAGGCTTGAAATCGCAAACTGTTACGTTGTTCTAATGAAACCTTACTGAATACATTTAGTAATTTTAACATAGCAAAGTTACACAATGTGAACAACATGGCAATTCCATTTCATAGAGCTGACAGCCTCGTCCTCTTTGGGTAAAAAGCGAATGTAAAACTGACAATGAATGGGGATCAATTTCCTAATGCTTCAATTAGCCTCGCTTGTTCAACTTTTATACTGATCAATATTTTAATACAAAATGCACTAATCCGACACTGTCATTTTGTGACTTTTACCCTATAATTAAAATGCTTTTGATATATGCATTGTACTGTGTTATCTGTAATGAATTTAGCAACAAAAATGGCAAATTAAAAAACACTCACCTATTTTGTCTGGTGGTAAATCAAGTTGGAGTTTAATAATGGTTTGGTTCAATCACAAAATTTCTTTGATCCTCAAAACAAAAATAAGCCTTGATGCCAGTTTCGTCCGGTTCCACCGGGTGTGGGGGGGGGGGGTACCGACTTTAACCGGACGACACCGGGCCCACCGGGCCACATTTGCATATTACGGTCTCCTTTTACAGCAAACAGTGAATCTTGACTTGTCATCATTTCAGGTCCTAAATGTTCAATCCATTGCATTTTTATTATGCCAACATATAAAAATGTGTCAAAGTTATAATAATTCATTGAACCATCTCCTTTTCTTTTTACAGGCAAAACACTTCAGGTACGATTCCTTGAATATTATCAAATCAGATAAAAGTTAAACTATATAACTTGTCGAGAGATTAAACAAGAATTAAACAATCAGAGTCAATTAGAACAACACTTAATAATTAAGAATAAATTGCAGGATTTGTTTGTACAGCACCTGAGTCTGTTTTAAAAGTGATCAGTTGCAACATGTCTGAACTTACGCTTTTTTATAATGAATTATGTGTAACAATGGTTCTTGTTTAAATGTTGTCTTACTGTCCTTTTTCAGCCATGGGTGGAGGAGAGTCAAAACCTGCTCCTGCTCCGGCTCCTGCTTCTGCTCCTCCTCCTGCTCGTGCTCCGGTTCCTCCTCCTAAAAGTAAGATACTCACAACATTACAGAACATTCAGGACATCCAAAACATGCTCGTGCTCCTTCTCCCCCGCGTGCTCACACTCCTTCTCCTGCACCTGCTCCTAAAAGTAAGATACTCAATATATTTGTAAACATTGTTTAAACTCAGAAGAATACTTTGGTCGTCTACTTATCAATATCAGAAAGAGTAGATCAAAAGTTGTAAATACAATCCTGAACGTTGTCTAGGATGTATGAAAATGCAAATGTATAACGACTGATTATTCATTTGTGTTGTGGTTATATTACATCATCGTGTGCCCTCTACTTGTCAGCTTTGATTAAAGAGTGGAGGAAAATACGATGGAGGTGAGTGATGTTTAATTCATGGTGCCTCTGACAACAGTGCAGCTACCACAAAATATTTGTAACGATAATAAAACTGATAATAATGTTGAAGTGCAGTGAAAGAATGCGACAGATAATCTTACCTTTTCATTAATGAACAGCCAAAAAGAGGAGGACCTGCAGTTTGTGAAGGATTATCAGCCTCATAACAAAGACGTCAAACAGCTCAGAGTTCTGCTTCATGGATCTACTGGTGCTGGAAAGTCCAGCTTCATCAACTCTGTCGACACTGTTTTACGAGGAAGAATCACTGGTCGAGCTTTGACAGATACAAACTCCTCAAAAACGTTCGCCATGAAAGTATGAAACCCTTCTGGTTTAACTGAGGTTGTATGTCGTGCACTGTAACACTTGGTGAAATTCTTTCACCTTTTGTTGATTCACTCACTTTGTGTTATCTTGTGAAGATAATTGCAGCACACAGATGATTCGAGCAGCACTTTGAGCAGCTTATGATAATATTAATGAGCATGAGATAAAGTTCCTCATAGACATTCATCAAAAGGTTTCAATGATGTCATCATATCATCTTTTTTCTGTTTTATAGCGCCGAACCTTTAAAATTAACAAAGGAGGACCAGGGACATTTTACCCTTTTGTCTTCACTGACATCATGGGCATCGAGGGGTTAGAAAAACAAGGAATTTGTGTGGAAGACATCAAACTGGACATGAAGGGACACATAAAAGACGGTTACAATGTACAGTCCAATTAATTATTGACATCATTGAGTATTGTTGATGCATTTCAATAAAACCATCCAGCTTCCCTTTCAGTTTTGTATCAAGAATTATATTTAGGTAAAGATGTTTCAATAACTATTTGCACAAGTTACTTTTTAAATTCACATTGTTTTTACAGTTCAATCCGTGCTCTGAAATATCAGAGGATGATCCAAACTACAACAAGAGCCCCACCCTGGAGGACAAAGTTCATGTTCTGGTTTGTGTCATCGATGCCAGCACAGCAAGTCTACTAAGTAATGAATCTAAGAAAAAGATGAGGGAGGTCAGACTTGCAGCTAGAGACTTGGGTAAGGTTTATATTGTGTGGTTCATAGATTGAATCAAATAACCTGTCAAACATAAATCTGATTGAGTTGTATTCGACTTTGTATTGGCAGGGATTCCTGAGCTGGCTGTTCTCACTAAAATTGATGAAGCTTGTCCAGCGGTCAGCTCCGATGTAAAGAACGTGTGTAAGAGCAAGTACATAAAGGAAATGGTAGGTTTAGAACGTTGTTTTTAAAATTGGAACACAAAAATAAGCTTTGAGCAGCATTTCTTACATGTGATTTTTTTCCAAATTAGTTGGACAAAATCAGTGTGGACCTGGGCCTTCAACCAAACTGCATCTTTCCTGTGAAGAACTACGTCACAGAGATGGAAACAAATGATGGGGTCGATACACTGATCCTGAGCGCAATGAAACGGATCATTGACTTTGGAGAAGACTTTGTCAACGAGCTGCAGACCTAAAATACTGCGGAGGCAAATCTTGCTCCATCTCAGCTTTAAAAAAAGGTCTTATATAATTATATTAAAACAGACTTGTGTTTTTTTGTTTTTCAGTTGTGATGTTTCTCTGCTCTAAATGGTCTTGCCTCTACTAATGGTTGAATAAAGTATGTTTGCCTGTATCACCCTCACTACGCATTAGAGTTTTGCATCATTATTTTGATACTTATGCTTTGTTGATTTAGGTGCTAATGTCTCATGTTCCAGTTCCCCAGTAATCATCGATCTGGTAAATATAAGATCAAAACAAATAATTAAGTCTAGAAGGGGCTAAATTTGATTGTGAAACTTTAGACTACTGGATATCCATTGTTTTATTTAAACGTTTGACCTTAGATTGACTCATTCGTGCTAGTACTGCTGTTTAGGTAAACCCACAATGAGTAACATGAATAATGACATTTGTTTATAGTCTCCTATTATTGTATTCATTCTAGTACATACTGTTGGAGCCATAAAGGTTCTGGTGATTTTGTTTATCTTGAGGGAAACAGGGTGAACTGGGACATGCAGTTCCTACACATGAACACAGGGTGGCACAATACCATAAAAATACATTTAAGTAAGTGCCTGCTAATGGGAACAAAGTGTGGATGGGAAGCAGACAGTTTTTTACCGTGTCGCAGGTGTCAACGTGTCGAGGTGGCGTCTTATGTTGTGTGGTGCCTGTAACCAACAAATGTGATGTAGTGCAAGGAAATAGACAGTGGTGATTGTATGCGGAGCACAGATTGAAATGCCTTAAAGACATTCAGCACACTACACAGTGCATTTTTTGTGGCAGTGAGTGTTTTGTGGCAGAAGACGTGTCCGAACATCTTCCCCCACGTTCGCCCTTATAGTGGCTTAACACATGAAATGGAAATGTGTTAGGGCCTCTACACATACTGTTTCCTATTGTCTAGTAACGTAATACCTTTGAAGTGTCCCACGCAGTATTACACAATATTTTATATAATTAGGTAAGGCAGAAACACCCAAAAATTCACAGAGGCATAAATTGACCAATTATGGCCAAAATACAAATTGAAGTAAAGTTATTGAGGGAGTAATTTCAGCTTGATTCCATTAGATTCTGTTTAAATGGGTCCCATTTGAATCCGGATTGTTAAAAAGAGACGCAAAATTAATCTGTATTTTTATTTATGACCAAATGTGAAAAACTGATTTTGTGTGATAGCTTCACAGAATCTCTTCCTAAATTAGATTCAAGTTTTTTTTAAATCTTGTATGCGTTTTGCCATATTCTGAAACACAAATGTCAACTAATCTTATGTTGTTTGCTGGATATGACGTCATCAGAGAGCTGGTCAACAACTCAGCTCTACCATCGGAAATCTTACAAGGCAACTCCGAAAAAACTGGTTGTTGTCCGGTCTGGCAGTTGTCTGAGTTCTCGTATTAAAGCAATAAGGTACTAGAGGCTGTACTTTATCGTCCAATAATGTAACAGTTCGGGGGTGTTGTTAGGCCCGACGCGCAGCCCTCGAACTGCAGTTGTTGAAGATAAAGATAAAATTTAAAAAGCCATGGGTTAAAAATGCAATGTAAGTCGCTTTGGATAAAAAGCGTCAGCTAAATGACCTGTAATGTAATGTAATACAGTACTGCCTCAAGTACCTTATAGCTTATTGCTTTTATAATACGGTTACCAGCGAAATTATGAATAGTAAGTAAATAGCTGCCTTTCAGCACAAAATAGTTGTAGCCACCAAACGTTGTGTATCTCATTTCAGCAGTCTGGAGAAAAAATTGTTGTAAGTGCATGTAAACAGCATCGGGTCCCGCACCATCTCATTTATTCACATCGCTCATGATGTCCACCTTAATTGTCCGGTTGCGAAACCTTGGATTGCCCGAAACGGATCATTCAGTGCGATTTCTGGATTTTTCGATTGGGTTAATGTGAAAAACAACTGTTATAGTGTCGCTCAATAATGCACCCCCCGTGACTCACTCTCAACCAATCAGAACGCTGGAGAGTGAATGGGGCCTCGAGGAAAAAAGCGGCATCTCCGCGCCAAAGCGCCAATAAAAAAAACCACCCCACTCGTCGTCCTCAAGGTGTTGGCGAGGTGGGAGTGGGAGCGTCGTCCCGGCCCTTTCCCGCTGGGTTGGGTTATCGAAGTCCGGGAACCGATAGGACTGAGTGGCCGGATTGGCTACTCGCTCTTTCCAAGTTCCGTCATCAACTCCCCCAAAACCAAAAAACACCCGTGGAAAAACTCCATCACTCTCGACTCCCAACGTCACTTCCCGTTTCCACTTTTCTTTTCCTCTCTCTCCAGCCCCGCTCCCCTGACGTTTGATTGGGCTATCGCTCCTCCCAACCAATACAATTTTTCAAACATACAGGAAGCATTAATTACATGCCATGAGAACAAACAACAACAAAAGCACCATCATCTCAGGGCACCACCCACTTTCCCCTGGGGCTGCACGTGGATGTTGTTTGGCCCAGTGAGTTTAGCTCAGATACAGTACATAAATGAAACTGTTCGTTTGAGCTAAGCTCAAAGCTCTTAAAATATTACTTTATTGAGTTCTAATGTTTTCATGTGAGGAATGAATTGTTTCAATTACCAATATGTGATTAGTTTATGTTTCCAAATAACGGAATAATGTAAACTATCTGCAGTGTCTTCAGCCATGTGAGATCTGCTGCTTGGTATCCTGAAACAGTCGTCGCTGGTAAAATTCCAGCTTTCATAACTAAACATTAGACTGTGTGCATCTTTCTCAGAAATCACTGCCCTTAAACTTGGAAAAGCCTCTCTCTCTTTCTCAGAAACCACAGTGTATAATTAACCTTGAACAGACAAACTGAAGACTGAGAACAACCCTCTCTGTACATGTCTGTATTGATTTATTGTCTCCATGCATATAAAAACTCTGGTTAGGGTTCCCTCGGTACCTTCTGCGCAGAAATCTATTAAATATTCAAAGAAAAGTCTCCCTTTTTTCGGTCAAACTTCCACCACAAACTTGACGACGAGGGTGAGATGTGAACTGGGATTCCCGAAGGAAGGCAGTTTGAGTGACAACTAGCACAACTCAAAGAGGGAATGAGAGAAAGGGAAAAGAGTGAATGGGATGAATATGAAGCATTGTCAAAGAAAAATGAAAAAAAGAAGGGATTAAGCCCTTCATGGCAGATTGGGAAGCTTATGCAGTCTGGAAGGATGAAGGTCTGAGAAGGAAAACACAACAGTACAAGGGTAAGAATAAAAAAGAACAGAAATAAAATCCTCGGAAGGTCCATCCAGATCTGGACTCCGCTCCACCGCCACCATACAACCAGCTCCAACAACTACCACACCACCGCCCACGACGGCTCCACCACTGCCACCGGGAGACAGCACCAGAGGCAAAAAGTTAACATTTGTTTAGAAGAGAAAAAGATTACATGAGTAATTCTCCGCAGATATCTGGCTCTAACTATTGCTTATAAGCAGGAGGTCGGATACACAAGCACGTATTTCAGCGCTCGCTCGGTGTAATGCATCTCACACATGACACCATGACCCCTATAAGCTCAACACTGAACTGCTGTGCCCAATGGTGGAGGTAGAGGGAGCCAGAGATGTGATATTGGTGCATCACCCGTGGACAGAGGCAGACCAAACCGACACTGTTGCTCACCTGCTACGGCCAGAGAAGAATTCCTGCAGAGAGTGCTACAAAATAACTCTGGGACTCAGTATATCACAATCAGAGGCATGTTGACTCTTATGCTTATTGCTTATTACTCTTAGCTTCACCTTTCTTAACTAACCATGTGTATATTTCCCCGAAACCACTCCGCTCAAACAGTGGTTTCTCGGAAACCAATGTTTACAAGGGCGTAGGTACGCCTATGGTTCCTAGGGAGGAGGCGCGACCATTGTTTGTCATTTGATTGGCTGAAGTGGCGGAGTCAGAAACACTCAGTGAAACTGAGAGCTGGCGGTAATCTGACAGTTTTAAACAGTTCAACTCCAATCTTGTCATGGCCTAAAGAGCCAGGTCGTGACAGTAGTAAGAGATCTCGCCATAATAGGTTGATGGGGCATTCTGGGCAAATTACGACTGGGGCGTGGCACTCTTCCCCCGTGGCGTTATCTTGGAATCACAAGAGGTTTTGATTTCGGGGGGCAGTTTATCAGTTAGCAGATTTGACGAATAATTTTCGCTCAATGGTGTTAGGTTTGGGACGTGTTCGTTTAGCATGGTTTTATCCGCCCCGGTGTCGCACCAAAACACTATATTTTTCCCTTTCAGGTGTAGAAGTCTGGTGGGTTTTTGCCGTTCCCCAGAGTGATTTAACAATGCTTCAGTTAGATCGAGCAATGGCAGATCGTCAGCCAGCACCCCTCCCGTTTGAGCTAGTCATTCCGTTTTTTTTATAAAACAGGTTGCGGGACTGTTGTGGTTGATATTCAGTCGCCCTTTCCAACCTGCAGTCGCGTGCAAAATGTCTTTTTGTCTGCATTGGGCGATGGTCGGGTCCACGTGCCAGAATGGCTCTCATTCTTTCGTACGCGCCTTGGAGCTGTCGGCCCAGCACAGCACTTCCCCCAGCGAGTAACGTGCCGTCATTGTTCCTCCCCGTGAAATCGCCCTGGAGCCACTCCCAATTATATGTTAAACATTTTTGGAGTGTGCGTTCGGCTTCATTCCCCGTTTAAATGGTACAAACTCATTTTGGGGTCGCGGTCGTCTCCCAACCCGTAATGTGGGTTAGCTACTTCAATCATTGGGTATAATTCCCCTGGCCCACTGTGGTCGTGCGGTATTATCCCGTAATCTTTTTTTTTCGAGAGACGGATACATCTTGGCAGGTTATTTTGACAGGTCCTGAGGCCCTCTTTGCTCCAGGACTAGACTTAATGAGCTCAAAATGTATATTTATCTTTAGCGTTAATTCTTCCTCTCTTTCCCTTATTTCCTCCTGATGCCTCCTCTCTTTTTCCTTCGCTGCTCGTGTTATCATCCCATGTCTTTCTACTTCTGAGTCAAGCAATCGCCACGTGGGTGGGGTGGTCTCCTCGTCCGGTCCGACGAGTACTGCCGCCTGCATGATTGGGATTGATCTCGCCTGTTTCTGCTAACTTGGCTTTTTTTCTTTTCTGTGCTTGGTCTAGCCAAAGCCTCGCGACATAAAGCTGTTCCTCTTTCCATCTTCTTCATTTCCCTAATTTACCTGACATACTGATTTTCAGTTTATACAATAATTGTATACATGCCGTTTCCATCAATCTACCCTCGAAACCATACTTCTTTTTTCATTTAACTAAATAGTTGGTGCTGCCTGGGGATGTCCTTTCAAAAAACTTGGAATCCCCCTCTAAGGGAGACTTACTCGTTGTGTTCCCCATTATGACAATTCAGTTGCCCCTTACAGACTACGTGTCTTTCTCGGGACCCCTTACGGCGAAGTCACCTGTGTCCAATTCACTCCCTTACGGCGGAGTCACCTTTTTACTTACAGTGTTTTGTTCCGCTGTGACCGTCTCCTGGATCCCGTTGGACGACGAGTTTGATACCCTGGAATGTTTACTGAAACTGATTGGCTGGCCCTACCAAAATAAATATCCACCAGCCGCCACTGGTTAGGGGTCTCTTTGGCCCAGTGGAGAAGCTGATCAGAATCTTGATAATTGTGCCTGTTTCCTCAGCGGAGTTTCAGCGTGTTAAAAAGGTTGAGGTCAACCGTGTCCCAGCAGCAGCCGGACAATGTCTGTATGTCTCTGCATCAAATTGCTCTGGACAAGATTGCGCTTGAAGATGTAGACCAACAGTTCATCTCTGAATGATAGACGGAGGTTTCTTTTTGTCGCGTTTAAATAAGAAATCTAGAGGAAAGCTTTTTAGCCTTTTAAGTACTGCAGAATAGATTTTTTTTAAACTATATTTGAGATAGACTAAACTGTTGTGTAGTGTATATTGGTATTTTTTATAGTACATTTTCGAATTAGTCATTATTATTTATTTGGTGCAGAAAATTGTTAAGTAGGGTTACATAAATGTTGATAGGGGTGAGTATTGTTTGGGATTTTTCCGATACCGGTGCTAACCCTATACATTGAAAACATAGAAAGGGTTTTTTCTTATTGCCAAAGCTAATTTTGTTCATCAAATTGAACAATATATGAACTGTTTACAGTTTAATTACAGTGTTTCCCCTATGTAAAAGCCAAAAGGGTGTATATTGGTTCATTGGAATTTGGGGAATATTCAATATTTCATTTTAGATGTATGCTCACTGTGCAGGAACTACAGATATGCAACATATATTGAAAAGTCTTTATGTTGGATTGACGCTCCTTGTTTGTCTCGATGTATTGACGTCATGATTGAACACAGAAGAGCTGCATTAGGCACGAGAGAATATAGTTTTATCTACCGGACGGCTTCATCAAAGTAGTGTAAATAATGTTTTTCTATCGCACCGAAAGCAAGCACTGAAATCTGCGTTGCGTTTTGGTGAGGGTGCTCATTAGCAAACCCTAATGTTAATATATGTAATGTATAATATATATGTAGTCATCTATGTGTGAAGTGAAGGAGGAGATGGAAGGAGAGGAAATAGAAGAACTATTCATCTGAGGTGTTTAGGGAGTGAAAATAAAGTTGCGGCCAGCGTGGCGCAGAACCGGAGTGTTATGCACATGATTCATGATGTGCATAACACACAGGAAATGAAAGTGAAAGCATAACCTACAGTATAAAGGAGCTTCTTGCCACCACTTGTACTAACACTACAGCACTCTGCAGAGCCACAGATACAAAAGGTGAGGGATTTCTACTACGTCTACTAACTGTATGTAGTGTATTATCATTATCACTGATGTGCGTGGATGTCAGTAAGAGACACTGAGTTATCAAAGTCTGATTACCTGATTTGTTCTTTATGCGAACACGTCAAAACAGTAAACGTTACACACACACACACACACACACACACACACGATTGTGACTTTATTGAAGTCCGGCATAAAAGTTTAAACAAAATTATGTTATAAGTAGGGATGCACCGATCCACATTATTTCACTTCCGATCCGATCCCGATACCTAAATTTGGATATCGGCCGATACAGATAATATTCCGATACCAGAGCTGTGTTTGAAAAACAGGAAATCCTGTTAACAGAAAAAATTCTGAAAACAAATGTGAAACTAAGGGTTTCAGATTGATTGTCAGGTCAATTTTTATTTAATTTTATGAATGTCAAATGTCAAAGACTTATTTGTAAGAAGTCTTAAAAATTTAGAAATATGAAAAGTGCACACACACACATACACACTTGACACACAGTCTCACTCACTCGTTCACAAATAACAGCACAAATCAAGTAAACTGACTCTTGTATCATGAACAACATATCAAATATCTGAAGAAAAGTGCAATAAAATGACTGTAAACATCTTACACACATACACACTTGACACACAGACTTACTCATTCACACACGCAATCACACTTACTCTCTCTCTCTCTCTCACACACACACACACACACACACAATAAGTTTTAAAACTGTTCATCAGAACAGCACTTAAGATGACCTGGAATAAACTAAACACCAGAGTCTAACTATTCTTTAAAAGAAAACAAAAATTGAATATGAGGAAGTGATGTAGTGTTCAACAAATCTTACATCGGCAGGTTCTTGTTGAGGAATATGAGCATTTCTGCTCTCTGCAGTTAGACGATTCCTTTTTTCATCCACGATATTGGCTGCCGTCCTAAACAGTCTAGCCTCAGCGCTATCCTGCTAGTCTGCTAGTCTGCTAGCTGGCTGCAAACTGTGGAATGGATTCCTGAACGGAGGCGCGGCTCAATGAGACAGTTATGAGACACGCTCAGGAAATCCATTCCATAGTTTGCAGCCAGCTAGCAGACTAGCAGGCCTTAGGCTAGCAGGCGGGGATCACTTTTGGAGTCATTTCACCAGACGACGTTAAAGCGCAGACATGGCTCATTGATATCGGAAATCTCCAAAGGTTGTATCGGAAAATCCGATACCCGAATTTCTCTGGTATCGGGACCCGATACCGATACTGGATCGGATCGGCCCCATCCCTAGTTATAAGTATTTTTATGTTTGAATTTTGGCAGGGCAGTGGCTATCTTATTGCCTACACTCACTGTACGTCACTGATCATTATTCTTATGGTGTTATTATTAATCTACTGAAAGATGTAATTAAGTAATAAAGATGTAAATATTGAGTAACGCTCAATATCTTAATTAGGTTGATGAAACATTTATCTTTATTTGTAAACGTTTGTACGTCAGTACAACTTTCACCTCCCTAATTAATCAGTGAAATTTAAATTTAAAATTGTATTGACTTTTATTTGAATTTGGTATGCATTGATTTAAGTATAATTTAGGTATAATTAAATTTTGTCAAATTTGTCGTCTTGATGGTTTTACAGATTGTATCCTGTTATCATTTGGCTAACTAGTGATTTTATGACATGTTCTGAATTGCAGTGTTAATTTTGGCAGCTATTTTTGATTTAGTCTTAGTCTTAAGACAAAAATGCATATTAGTTTTAGTCACATTTAGTCATTTTTCGTTGACGAAAACATTCTAGTCTAGTTTTAGTCGACGTAAACTAGACTAACATGTAATTAGTTTTAGTCACATTTAATCTACAACTGCATAATAGTCTAGTTTGCAGTACTTAATTAATGTCCCTCCTAGGACAGGTCTATAGCAGGGGTTGGCAAACCTTTTGACTCGCGGGCCACAGTGGGTTGTAAAATTTGACGGAGGAGCCGGGCCAAGAACAGATGGTTGAAGTGTTTGTGTGAGCTAATATAAATGACATGTGAAAAATCCTTACACAAAAACATTTGGATTTTAACAAATAGCAAAGCATTTATTTACAAGGCAATTTAACAAATTGGCAAAGGTTGTAACAATTTCATGAGGACCAGGGATGTAAACGCAACACTTTGTTGTCTTTGTCTGTGTACTTGCAATGCTTCATGACCAGTTCTCTCTCCTGCGGGTTTTCCTCCGCCTGTTCTGTGCCGCCACATCCTTCACCTGCACTGCGCAGGTCTATCAAAAGGTGAGGGGACCATAAACATATGGGCAGAACCTGGTCGTTGTGAAAGGGTAGTGTTTATTGGCAACCAGAGGTAAACAGGCAGGTAACAACAAACAAAAGGAGGGTGGATGAGGGTGCTGTGAAAAGACAAACCAAGTTAAATAAAAGAGATCCCCAAAAGGAGGACTATGCCTGAATATACATTTAGACAAACAGTAGGCGCTTACCAAAAAAACACAAAGAGCACAGCACCCTTTAGCTAACAGGCACAAAAACTACGTGTGGTGAATCAGTATTGACTCTTGCCCTAACTCACCCCTTTTGCCAGCCCCGTGCTGGTAAAAACACACAAGAACCAAAAGACAGTACTTGACTCAGTTGCACACAAATACACACACAGAAGGCACACAAGTCACAGAGCTCCACCGAAACCAGGAAGTAGGCGGGGGCTTCAGTCCACAGGGCCGCACAGCCTACTTGGTACAGGCAAAGACAAGACAGAAATACAGACCACCGGTGACAGCCGTGACACTTAGTAACGAGGGGAACGGTGGCCGAGACGGTTTAACGCCGTCTCTCACGATGCGGCGTGTGAACTATAGTTGAAATGCGTGTGTCTCACGGTCATCAATGCGTGAGGCTTCAGAACCTGCAATGAGTTTATTACGTTAGACGTGTTTGGAGAAACCTGTAACGGAGCGTCTCATCCACTGAGGAAACGCTGCCTGCCGTCGCCAGAGAACAGAGCAGAAAGGTCCGACTGTCTGTTAAACGGGTCTTCGTGTTTCTGTGAAGCAGCGCGGCTTCAGCCTGCTAACAGTCAGCTAAACCGAGACCGCTGAGCTAAACTAATGAAGCGCACATTCAAACTCGCCGAAGCGTAAAATAGTCGTCGCGGTCCGTAGTCGGTGCACAAGAACCACCGCTGCACCGATGCGAGCGAGCGTTCTGGGTTCGTGGATGACGTCATCATGACACGTTAATATCCGCCGTACTTTGCCGGTCTGTTGTCTGTTAGCTGCGTGTGAATTTATGGGGGAAAGTATTGTGACTTCGTCAACCACCAACATGTTCGTCTCGTCTCGTTAACGAAAGTTAGAATAGATTTAGTCATAGTTTTTATTTGTTAAGATCGTTTTTGTCACGTTTTAGTCAGAAAAGAGGGCGTTAACAAAACATTTTCGTCGACGAAATTAACACTGCTGCATTGTTCATACATTATTACCTTGCACATTTTCTACTACCCTACATGCCTTAGCTTTTATTCGTTAAGCAGTTTCCTTTTCTATTTTGCAACATGCCCCAAAATGAATAGGATTGCAGTATTTCAGTGAAAGTGTCTTGAAGTCACCACCCTAATTTAGGCATTAGTAACATTCATGCTCCAGAAAAATTATTTTAAATTCATGCACATTTACATGTTACTGTCTCCTTTTACAGCAATGGGAGGAGGTGAGTCTTGACATGTCATCATTTCAGCTCCTAAATGTTTAATCCTTTGCAAAACTGATTCAAAATTGTAATTATTCCAACATTAAAAAAAAGAAAAGGCGCATTAACATATGTAACTTTCTCTTTAGCATTTTCTAGTGAGCCATGGAGGGAAGTGACAAAGTGAGTATGATTCACATGTTGTACATTTAATCAAATAAAACATGTTAAACAAATATAGTATTCTGTTCTAATTCATTTATTCTCTGTTCAAAAGAGGTTACCAGGACAATCTGGATTTTGTGAAATCTATACAAACCTCGAAAGCCACAAGTCAAACGTCTCAGA